GATCAGGAACAAGATAAGGATGTCCACTCTCACCACTTTTATTCAACATAGCTTTGGAAGTCCTAGCTACAGAAGTCAGAGAAGAAAAAGAAATCCAAATTGGAAAAGAAGAAATTAAACTGTCACTGTTTGCAGATGACATAATACTATAGATAGAAAATCCTAAAGATGCTACCAGAAAACTACTAGAGCTCATCAAAGAATCTGGTAAATCTGCAGGTTACAAAATTAATACACAGAAATCTGTTGCATTTCTATACACTGACAATGAAAGATCAGAAAGAGAAATTAAAGGAACAATCCCATTTACCATCACATCAAAAAGAATAAAATGCCTGAAAATAAACCTACCTAAGGAGGCAAAAAACCTGTACTCCGAAAATTATAAGACGCTGATGAAAGAAATAGAAGTTGACACAAACAGACGGAAAGATATACCATATTCTTGGCTTGGCAGAATCAATATTGGCAAAATGACTATACTACCCAAGGCAATCTACAGATTCAATGCAACCCCTATCAAATTACCAATGGCATTTTTCACAGAACTAGAACAAAAAATCTTAAAATATGTGTGGAGACACAAAAGACCCCGAATAGCCAAAGCGATCTTGAGAGAGAAAAACAGAGCTGGAGGAATCAAGCTCCCTGATGTAAGACTATACTACAAAACTATAGTCATTAAAACAGTATGGTACTGGAAAAAAATGGGAATATAGATCAATGGAATAGGGTAGGAGGCCCAGAAATAAACCCATGCACCTATGGCCAATTAATCTATGACAAAGGAGGCAAGACTATACAATGGAGGAAAGACAGTCTCCTCAATCAATGGTGCTGTGATAACTGGACAGCTACATGTAAAAAAACGAAGTTAGAACACTCTTTAACACCATACACAAAAATAAAATGGATTAAAGACCTAAATGTAATACTGGACACTATAAAACTCTTAGAGGAAAACATAGGCAGAACACTCTCTGACATAAATGGCAGCAATACCTTTTTTGATCCATCTCCCAGAGTAATGGAAATAAAAACAAAAATAAAGAAACGGGACCTAACTAAACTCAAACTTTTGCACATCAAAGGAAACCATAAACAAAACAAAAAGACAACTCACAGAATGGGAGAAAATATCTGCAAACGAAGCAACCAACAAGGGATTAGTCTTCAAAATTTACAAACAGCTCATGTGGCTTAATAGCATAAAAACAAACAACCCCAATAAAAAAAAATGGGCAGAAGACCTAAATAGACATTTCTCCAAAGAAGACATACAGATGGCCAAGAGGTACATGAAAAGATGTTCAACATCACTAATTATGAGAGAAATGCAAATCAAAACCACAATAAGACATCACCTCACACCAGCCAGAATGGCTGTTTTTGCACCAGTGCAATACTGTCTTTATTACTGTAGCTTTGTGGTATAGTTTGAAGTCAGGGAGCCTGATTCCTCCAACTCCGTTTTTCTTTCTCAAGATTTCTTTGACTATTCGGGGTCTTTTGTGTTTCTATACAAATTGTAAGGTTTTTGGTTCTAATTCTGTGAAGAATGCCATTGGTAGTTTGATAGGGAGTGTACTGAATCTGTAGATTGCTTTGGGCAGTATAGTCATTTTCACAACACTGATTCTTCTAATCCAAGAACATGGTATATCTCTCCATCTGTTTATGTCATCTTTGATTTCTTTCATCAGTGTTTTACAGTTTTCTGAATACAAGTCTTTTGCCTCCTTAGGCAGGTTTATTCCTAGGTATTTTATTCTTTTTGTTGCAATGGTAAATGGGAGTGTTTTCTTAATTTCTCTTTCTGATTTTTCATTGTTGGTGTATAGGAATGCCAGAGATTTCTGTTCATTAATTTTGTATCCTGCAACTTTACCAAATTCATTGATTAGTTCTAGTAGTTTTCTGGTGGCATCTTCAGCATTTTCTATGTATAGTATCATGTCATTGGCAAACAGTGACAATTTTACTTCTTCTTTTCCAATTTGATTCCTTTTATTTCTTTTTCTTCTCTGATTGCTGTGGCTAGGGCTTCCAAAACTAAGTTGAATAAGAGTGGTTAGAGTGGACATCCCTGCCTTGTTCCTGATCTTAGTGGAAATGCTTTCAGTTTTTCACCATTGAGTATGATGCTTGCTGTGGGTTTGTCATATATGGCCTTTATTATGTTGAGGTAGGTTCCCTCTATGCCCATTTAATGGAGAGTTTTTATCATAAATGGGTGTTGAAATTTGTCAAAAGCTTTTTCTGCATCTATTGAGATGATCATATGGTTTTTATTCCTTAATTTGTTAATGTGGTGTATCACACTGATTGATTTGTGTATACTGAAGAATCCTTGCATCCCTGGGACAAATCCCACTTGATAGTGGTGTATGATCCTTTTAATGTGCTGTTGGATTCTGTTTGCTAGTATTTTGTTCAGGATTTTTGCATCTATGTTCATCAATGATACTGGTCTATAATTTTCTTTTTTTGTGATGCCTTTTTCTGGTTTTGGTATCAGGGTGATGGTGGCTTCGTAGAATGAATTTGGGAGGGTTTCTCCCTCTGCAATTTTGGAAGAGTTTGAGAAGGACTGGTGTTAGCTCTTCTTAAAGTTAGTGAGGATCAGTGGCACTTCGTGGGTGGACCTCCTTAGGAGTGTCTGACAGCAGAAAGTTTGATCAAGGAGGCTAAGAGGAACACTCAAGTCCTTCTTCCTCAGCTAGAAACCATTTGGGCTGTGACAGCTTTGGCCCACCAGTGATGGGTTCTCTATGACTAAAACACATGTTTAGACCAAGTTTCCAGAGGATAGCAGCCCTGCAAACTACACTGGTGGTCCCTTGGTTCTACAATGAGAGAGTGACAGTGGTGGATGATGAGATTGTTAACAAGCCTCTAGGTTCATTAGTGCCACTCCTGCTGGTTATCAAGCTCAATTAAAGCTCCTCATAACATCAGGTCCGTCTGTTAGTGACATAATCCAGAACTTAACTGACAAATTCCTGGGCAGGGAAAATGTAACTACTGCCAAAATAACAGAGAGAGACCATCACATAAGGTGACATGAAAATGGTAACTGGGAACACACTAGTGGAGAATTTGGGTAGTGCTCTCCCAGTACCTCTGGGTCTGTTTTTTAAACAGTGGGAGCTCAAAAGAAGAGATTAATGGGTTCTCCACTTAGAAACTCATGGCCAAGTAGCATACCTTAAGGGGCCAAATGGCAACCCCTATAGGGTATGCCAGGTAATAATGACCCCTATGACTAACAGAAGTGCTATTTCTTTTCCTTCTTCCAGTAAATTCTAAAATGAATCATAGAGCCTTACCAACTTTTACCCAAACTTTATGGATTAAACAAGACTATGAAATGTCCAATGTTCCTAAGTCCAGAGTGAAGGAGTGAGATCCTATGCCAAGGGTCAAAGTTCAGAGTACACATGAGGGAGAATTGCATTTCTTGGGCCTTTTGGTAATGGTCCACAGTTGATGGTGACCCCCAATCCCCTGGAATGAGAATGAGAAAATTGATAATGCTCTCTGATTTTCTCTCTGAAGCCGACACCACCAAGATCCTTACCCAGCCTGACTACAGGTGTAACATATCATTATTGTGGCACCACTACTGAATGGATTATTGTTATAGATGTATTATCGATATGTATACCAGATTACACTTACTCTAAAGCCTAAAGGATATTATTGCATTTAAGACCATTTTAGTGGGGCATATGGAAGACTGTAAACCTACCAAACTATTACCTGCTAGCAGTATTGTCTCTCAAAAACAGCATTAATTGCCTCAGGAATTCAAAAACAAACAAACAAAACTGCCCCCATTGCTGTGCTTAAGGAAGCCAAGGTTCATTATCTGAGCTTTGCAAAAGGCCTTGGGTACCTGGAAACTCAAGCAGAAATCAGGCTCAGTGATGTAGTACAACTATGGCAATAGCATTACCTGACACTGACTGACATAGCTTTTGCCCAAGCTGAGGGAAACAGGTATGAAGCAATTCACATTGCAAATGCCCTTTTCAGCATCCCTGTCCACACAGATGATCAGGATCAGTTTGCCTTTGGTGTAATGCGTTGCAATACACCTTTAATGCCCTTCCACAAGGCCATGAGCAGGAGGAAGTCCCACTTCCAGATGGAGCCCTAGCCTTCCATATATTAATGAATGCCTCCTAGTGGGTTGAGGAAAGGGTACTACTCAACCAGGACTGTATGCCATTTTGACGCACATGTAGCAACATGTCTAGGACATTACTATGGACAAGGCACAAGGGCTTATGAATCCTGGGAAATTTCTGGGAATAAACTGGGAAGGGACAGTAGCTCTCAGTCCGGAGACAATAACTGCCTAGTTTTAGTCATGCTCAGGCTCTCAGCCCCAACAAACACAAAGGATGCCCAATGACTTGTGGGAGTATTCAGATACTGGTACTCACAACTTCCCCTACAAGGCCACCTTGATGACAGCACCCATCAATCAGGTAACCAAAAAGACCTTTACCCTGAGTGGGGCCTGACAACAGGATACCCTAGAGACCCTCCAACGGGCTACACAGGCAACCCTTTTCCTTGCCCCCTTGAATCTACCGCCTTTTAGGTTGCGGGTCTCAGCAACCTCTCTGTTTGCCAATTGGAGCCTGTGGCAAAAGAACACTGCCACACATCAGAGGTGCCAGCTGGCTTTGGACTCATAATCTTCTATTGTTGACTGAAAGTAAACACCCTTTGAAAGACTACTGACCAGTTATGGATCTTGGTGGACACTGAGTGCAGAAGTCCCACCATGAAGTAGTTTTATAACAAGAAATTCCAACCAAATGTTAAATGTTTCTTCTTCTCTAGTTGTTTTATGGTATTCACATTTAGATCAAAGTGTAAAATTCCTATAAATTATATGCTCAAATACATATTCATGAACTAAAGAAATAAGTTCTGATGTGATTACTTTTTTAACATTTAAAGGTACCTATAATTGTTATACTTACTACTGTGTTGTCCTCCTCTGGAAGTTATTTGTTTTTGTACTTGCATGGGGAGTTCTGACACTGACTCTTGTTGTTTAAGCACAGGATTTTTGTCTGGTGTGTCATCATGAGCTACATAAAGAGATGCATTTAGTTCCTCCATGGAAAAACATATCTAGTATGCAATCTCTAGATTTCAAATTTATAACATATATACAGCAAAATTTTCTCTCATTTTGATAAAGTTATAAGTAAATTACCATAATGTCAGATGTGACATAAAATTTGAGAGGATATTTTTAATGGGCATTTGTTAAAGAAGGTGTAACACTAATATTTCTAGGCAATATCTATTGATCTACCTATCTATATATATCTGTTGTATGTGTGTGTGTGTATATATATATAAAAATATATATACACACACACATACATACACAAAATATTCCTGCCACGAGTGGTGATCTGAGCATGTATGCCAAGGTCAGAATTCAAAGTGGGGTGGGGCACTGCTGCATTTCTAGAGCCCTTAGGCTACTGGTGCACAGGTGGCCATGATCTCCATAGCCTCTGACACCAGGTGCTGGGGGAAAGAGATAAAGCTCTCTGGCTTTTCATCTGAGGCCACCACCAAGGACACCCTTGGTCAAACACTACACTGTGAGTGTATCCTTTCAGGCAACCACAAAACTCCATTTTTATGGTCCCCGCTACTGAATGTGTAATGATGTAGATGTATCTTCTATGTGCACCCACACTCGAATTCAGTTCCCTCATGGGAACTGCTGTATTTAGGGGCATTTTAGAGGGGCACGTGGAAGACTGAGAACCTCCAGACTAAACAGTGCCTCCCACTTGTGTCTCCCTAAACTAATTCCTGGGAAGAAAAAGACATAAACTGCTCTCACTGCTGAGCTTAATAAACAGAAATTTCTCCATGAGACTATTTCCCATTTGAATAACTAACTTGATCTTTGCACACAGCCTCAAGTACATGTGACTCAATTGATTTTGGTAGGTCAATGCTATAGTACAGCGGTGAGACCCGGTGGTACCTACACTGTAACTGTCATACAGGCTGTTTTCCAAACTGAAGGACCTCAATATGCAAATCAAATGCCCTTTGCTGCATGCCTCTCCACATAAATGATCCCAGTTATTAGTTTAACCTTATATGAAAGGAGTTGCAATATCCTACTAATGTCCTTCACATGGCCACCAAATTGCTCAAATATCTATAATCAGGGCACAGCTCATGACGTCTAAGCAGCCTGCTCTCAAAGGGAGGACTAGTTTTCATTCAAGCGGGCCCAGACAAGGACACCCCCAACAAGGATTAGATGCACTGTGAACCCACCAGTAGCTCTTGGCTGGGCCATCAGTACACACAAGGTACAGTTAGTTACCTGGTAACTTAGTGAAATTCCTGGACATGTCCTCTAAGGGGCATGACATCTCATTCCAGAGGATAAGACTGCCGCACTTGGGCTAATCAACTCCAATAAATAAAAAGCGGTCCAGCAATTAGTGACATTCTTTGACCACTTGCACTCTCATTTGCCCATGTGGAGCCCTTGATGACACCCATCTATGGGGTTACCAGAAAGGCTGCTTCCTTTCAGTGAGGACACAACCAAGAGGGTGCCCTAAGGGCCCTCCAACAGGTCCCATGACCCCCATCTGATGCTTGATTTACAGATCTCAGAAACATCTGTTTGCCACTGGAGCCTATGGCAAAAGGCTGCTGTGACACGTAGAGGAATCCATTGGACTTCTGTACCCATAATCACCTGGAGTCAGCTGAAAGGCACACTACTTTGGAGAGACAATTATTCACCTGCTATTGGGCCTTGGGGCATTCATCTTCTGGTCATAAAATAATCTTAAGAACAGAAATTCCAACCAAAGGGTTCAATATTTCTGCTGTTTTTCTCTAGTTATCTCACGGTATTCACACTTTAGTCAAAGTGTAAAATTCCTATAAAACATATGCTCAAAAAATACGTATCCGTGAACCAAAATAAAAACATCTTGTAATGAGCTTAATTTAAAATCACTTGAAGTCTTCTGTAGCTTTTGTACTTACTAATATGTCTTTCCCCTTTGTGAGGGCTTTGTTTCTTCACTTGAATCTCTGATTTTGACACAGAATCTTGATGCTCAAGCATACGATTTCCATCTGGTACTTCATCCTGAGCTACATAAAGAGAAGGATTTAGTCCATTAAATAAAGAGAGAGATCCCTAGATTTCAAATTTAAAGCAGAGAGCAGTGGTGTTTTCTCCCACTTATATGAAGTTATAAGTAAATCACCATGATGCGAGATCAGATGTGAAAACTATGAGTCTTAATGAGTGTGTGTGGTAAGTATTTTTTCATATCATTAATATTCCTAATTTTAAATGTTTTATATTAGTCTCTCGTTTTCTGAGTTTTCCTGATGTTTTCAGTTAATACACACTGATAGATCAAACAAGGAAAATAGATATGTTCAAGATTATTCATTGCAGCATACCTGTAATTGCAAAATACTCAAAACCACTTAAGCATACAAGCATACGAATTGGTAAGCTGAAGTAGTGTATGTAAACTATGAAAATATAAACTATGGGATACAATGTAGCGCACACAGCTGTGCAAATAGGTATAAGAGGAAATGAAAAACATCCTGACAAACTGACTTGGGAGCATTTCTAAGATGTAAGGCTTAATGAAGGAAAAAAACCTGAAAGAGAGAATTTTAACAGGCTAACTTTTAAGAAAGAAAGAAGAAAAGGGAAAAAAAAAGACAAAAGATAACTTATCTTCAAAAGATGAAACAGAGAAAATATAAACCAAAAGACAACCTGGAGGGTTACAGAAGTCACTGCAGAAAGTGCTGGCTGAGTTGTACCCAGTGACTACTATTAACTCTTAGCCTGTCTCTGGCACTGATGGATAGCCCGTGATACAGTGAGGTTTTGAAACTCATGTCTAATGAAAAAGGATCCAGATTTCTCAGTTTCACTTGACCAGCAACCTGAGGAGACTACAGAGACTCCACCATGGAGGAGCTACTCTTGTTAACTTTGTGAAGGACAGTGGCACCTTGTTGGCGGTGTCCCAACAGAACCCCTGGTTCTGAGTTCCCTGACACGGAGCACTTTGTCCAAGAAGGACAAGGAAGGGGGTGGGGAAGAAAAGACACAAACACCTAAGACACTCCCTTTCCTCTTCTGGCTGACATTTGGTTTCTGAAAATTTCCGCCCACCCATGGTGAGTTCCCTGCTGCTGGAAACACTGTCTAGTTACCCAGCAATGGAGGCTCAAGGAAGGGATGGATGGACTCTACCAAGCATCCTGTGGACAGGTACTGAGCCATGGGGGCCAACACACAGCCCCACGAGAACCAAAATGGTGATGACACTTATTACTAATACACGTGCTATTCCTTCTGCTCCTCCCAGCAGTCTCAAGATAAAATGGAGAACTCTATTTTTACCCAGAATGCTTGGCTTATAAAATTACACAAAATTAGGGATCAGGCCAAGTCCCTATGTCCCCTTTGGCACCTAAGAATATATGCCAACTCAGAGTTCATAGGGGCAGTGGGGGGAGACTGCATATCTTGGGCCATTTGGCTACTAGTTTACCAATGACTGTTACCTCCACAACTGTGACGCCAGGATGAGAGGAAAACAGTTAATGCTTTTTGACGTATACTTACACCTGGCCATGGTGGGGGGTGCCTTTGGACACTATATACCTCTATTTTATGGCCCCCACTACTGAATATTTAACGAGTACAGGTGTATTTTCTATGTGAACTCCAACTCACATCAGCACAAAGCCGTGATGAGCGCTACTGCACTCAGGGTCATTTTAGTGGGGCATATGGAAGACTGTAAACCTACCAGACTACCAGTGCCTAGAGATTCGTCTCCAAAAACAACTACTAAGCAAAGAAAAACAAATGCCTGCCCTCTTTGCTGAGTTTAGGTAAGCCAAACATCTCTGTGAGATTACCTCTCCATTCAATAATTGAGTGAACCTGTGCATATGGCCTAACATGCCTACAGACTGGATTACAGGCAGCTTAATGCTGTGGTACAGATCAGGACACTGGCCTTACTGGATACTGTGACTGCCATAGAGGCTCTTGCCCAAGCTGAGGGAAACAGGTATAAAGTAATTCACATTGCAAATGCCCTTCTCAGCATCACTGTCCACACAGATGATCAGGATCAGTTTGCCTCTTGTGTAATGGATTGCAACACACCTTTAATGTCCTTCCCACAAGGCCATGAGCAGGAAGAAGACCCACTCCCAACTAGCTGCCCACTATATTGGTGGCATCCTCCTGGTGGGCCCAGGCATGTGTACTACCCTACAGGGACTGATGCTATGTTGACCCATACTCAGCAACACAGCTGGGTCATTAACAGGGACATGGACAAGGACTGTGTGGGAAAGCACAATACGTATCATCTTGAGGAGATAACCACCAATATTTGTCCTCTTACTCACAACAAATACAAGAGTCCCAAAAATCTGTGGAGCTATTCTGCTACTGACACCCTTACATTCCCCTCAGTGGGATCCTGACTGCAACCAACTATTAAATTTCCAAAAATGCACCTACATTTGAATGGATCTCAAGCGGATGGTCTGGAGGCCATCCAACAGGCCTCCCAGGTCACACTTCTCCTTGGCCCCTCTGATAATGAATTGAGATACAGCTCTCAGCAACTTCTCTGTTCATCATTTAGAGTCTTTGGAAGAAGGCAATTCCACAAGATAGTGGATTAATTTAGGCTTCTGTATGCCTAATTTCCTGTAGTAGGGTGAAAGGTACACACCTTTTGAAAGACAATTATGTGCCTATTATTGGTTTAGTGGATACTGAGTGCATGAACCATGACTATGAAAAATATTACAATCAGAAATACTGACCAAAAGTTTCATAACTTTAGCTTTTATCCTCTAGTTATCTTAGGGTATTTATACTTTAGGTTAAAGTATAAAATTTCTCCAAAATATACATTAAAATACAGATTTATGAACCAAAGAAGATCTTTAGCTGTAATTAATTTAAAATAACTTAAAGTTATCTGTAGTTAGTATACTGACTGTGTCTTTTCTCTCTGTTTCTTTACTTGCATTTGGGTTTTTGACATTGGTTCTTGATGCTCACATATAAGATTTTCATCTTATGCTTTATCATGAGCTACATAAGAGATATACTTAGTCCACTGAATAGAAAAATACAACTATTATAAATCCCTATATATCAAATTTATAATAAGAATACAGCAACATTCTCACTTTTCTGAAGTTATAGTGGAGTCACCATAATGCTAGATCTGATAAGACTGTGAGAGGAGTTTAATAAATAGATGTGTTTTGACTCTTTCTCATTATCTCATAAACATTTCCAGGCATTATACATAGTTTACATTTGTCTCTATTTCTCTTAGGTTATTTATATTTTACAGATCACATAGACTTCATAGACCAATCAACAAAATGCAAGTGTACAATTTGCTAATTACAGCATTATTCGTAATTGCATATAAATGTTCATGCATGGGAAACTAGATAAACAAGCTAATACATATACTATAAACTTGGTAAATTATGGTAAATAACATGGTACAAACTGTTGTATGTAGAGATGTAAAAAGGATCAAATGAACCTCTATAAACTGACTTGGAGGGATTTCAAGAAGATAATATCAAGTGGAAAAAAAAAACCCAAAGGTGAAAAGTTGTGTGGTACCTTCTAGGTAAGGAAGAAGGGAAAATAAGGAAATAAGAGACAGAGAGAGACAGAGAGAGAGAGAGGGAGAGAATTAGAGAGATACTTACCTTTACAAAATGAAAAACAAGTGAGATAGAAAACAATGTAGTTGGTTACCCATAGGGTAAAAGGGAGAGAACTGAAGAAGAAATGCTACTCCTCTAAGTATACCTTTTTGTATAGTTTTTACTTTTGGAAGCAGGGTCAGGTTCCACATGTTTCAAAAATAAAATTAAATAACAAAAGAGGAACTAAAACTGAAAGCAAACTTAAAGAAATGAACCTACTGAAAGAAAAAAAGTACTAATGCAAGTAACTCATCAATACAATATTTGACATATACCCTCATTCATGGGCAGAAGTGTGGAGAGACTGTAAACACATGACAAAATATTTTCAGGAGGATTTTTTTCCATACCTATAGGCAAAGAAATTCCAAAATAATTTTATAGGCATAACAAGATGGACCAAATGAGTAAATGTGTTATATTATTCAGAGAGTATTCACGAAGTGGAAGAAAGGACATGCACACATGAAATGGAAGTAGGCAGAACAAGCCCTGAGGGGATGAAGTAGAATTGAAGGTTTCCAAGATTTATCATGAATTCTAAATATGTCTATGCAGGTTTATATACACACGTGTAGGTATACAGGCTAATATATGTGTATAACTACATATGTATATACAAGTACATATATAAAAGTGTGAATATACTTAAGAAACCTGACGCCAGGCTGGATCTCATGTGTGATCTTTCAGGCACAATCACAGACAATTATAAAGGCATTACCTGGCAGTTACCATAGGGAAAAGAAGTTTCTCAACCCACAGAGACTTGATGCATAGCCAGTGCACTGCAGGCACTGGAGGTGGTTGCAGTCAGGGACACAGCCCTCCCGCCCCCATCACTCTCTCAAGTACACTGCATTCTTAGCCCAGTCACCATCAAATGGAGGCGGGGGTGGGACGTGACTGGGACACTGTATTGTTCGGGCACTGCCACTGCCTAGACTACCTTATGGGGGGTGGGCGGGGCTTGAAGAAACTTTTCTCAGTTATGATTCAGTATTCAGGATGTTTCTACTCCCATCCCTCCCATCACTACCTTTTGAGGGCGTAGGACCCATAAAATAGCAAGAGCCTTTTGTCTGGTGCTCCTTCAGCTGTGAGATGATCCTCTCCTACATCTCATACCAGTTTGCACTGATACATCTAACCCTCACCCACTGCTGTTTCAAGTGGGAAAATAGAACATTGCTACAGCTGGGGTCCTTTACTGCTTGAACTATTGAGGTAAGTGAACAAAGGTTTGTTACTTTTAGTTTGGTTTGTTATTTTAATTGACCAACTCAAAAACTGGCATTTCTCTCTCAGACAGATTGGAGCAGCAAGCAGGGTAAGTAAAGCTCAATGCCTTTTGGGAAGGCACACTTTGGGATGTGCTCAGTAAATCAGTGGGACATTTCTGGAGTGATGGGGGAGAGGGTACCATAGGATCATTAGACAGAAGTCTGAGAGCCCCCTGGGGCAGCCAGGCCAATGTGCTTTGGACAGGGCTAACAGACCACACAGGGTGCTCTAGGAGAGTGCTATTTTATTTTTATAGGCTTTTCAGTTCTGAGGGGGGAGCAAAGTTCCTTCTCTTTAGACCTCGATTCACTGGCTGAGACACCTGCTGGGTCAATCAAATTAGAGATTCACCAGATCCGGGACTCTGAGAAAGCTAGGGAAGCAATTTGTGGCTACTGCTTATGGTCCACCAGTGATGGGATCTAAAGTTGTGGGAGACCCTGCATGACCCAGTAGCAAAAGAAATCTTAGAAACCTGGTAGTTTGCCTCCATATTAAAGGGATTAATCTTGTTAAACTTGGTGAAGGAGAAGGTCACACATACTGTTGGGCCTGTCACTACAAAACAACTTCTTTAGAGAGTCTTGACAGCAGTCATATTGGCTGAGGAGGTGGAAGAAAAGTGGGGAATAAAAAAAGCAAACATCTGAGACTCTCTCCTTCCTCATCTGGGTACTACTTTGGCTCTGACAGGATGACCAATCTGTGATGAGTTCTATACCACTGAAAAACATGTTTGGATCACCACTGCAGAAGTGACAGTGTCCCTCTGTGCTACGCTGGTGGTCCCAGGGTCTACACTGATAGAGTGAGGAGAGTGAGATTCTTAACCAGACTCAGATTTCTTGATTAATTCATGCCACCCTTGCTAGACAGGTATCAAGCTCAAGTAAGCCTCCTCATAAGGTCAGGTCATTTGGCACTAGACAATTTAGACATTAACTGCAAAACTGTTGGACATGGAATAGCACCTACTGCCAAGGTAGCAGTGACTGACCAACAGTAAAAGCAATGTGAAAATGGTAATCAATAACCTACTCCTGGACAATCTAGACCTAGATCTCTATAAGAGATCTATGGGTGAATATCCAATAATGAGGTGTCAAAGAGGTAGGCTGATGGGCTCACTACCAAGGAACTCATGGCCTGGTAGTGGGCCAAGGGATGCCTGAAAGGAAGCTGAACTGGGGTCCACGCGGGGGTGACCCCTATGATTAATACAAGTGCTATTGCTCAGGTCTTTCCATTGAATTTTGACATGAGACTGAGAGCCCACCAACCTTTATCAAGAACACTCTGCTTTCAAAAATGAACAAGACTATGAGTTAGACCAAGTCCCTTTGTCCTCAGTAGGAACATGAGGACCTATGCTAAGGTCAGAGTTTAATGGGGAGGTAGGAAAGAACTGCATTTCTTGGGTCTTTTGGATACTGGGGCTATGTGACTGTGATCACAACTCCTGACACCAGCATGATGGAGAAACACATAATGTTCACTGGGTAAGGGTGAGGGATCTGGGTAAGGGTCACGCGTCATTGGGTCTGAGGCCATTACCAATGGGATCCTTATCCAGATCCAACGATGGGTGTTTCCCTTTAGATCACTATAAATTTCCATTGTTATGGCCCCATTAATATACGTTATCATTACTATAAATGAATTGTCAATGTGAATCCCTGCTTTGTATTAACTCCTAACAGGAATTGCTGCAGTTAGGGCCATTTCAGTTGGCATGTATTAGACTGTGAACCAATCCAATTACCAGTGCCTAGTGCTTTTTTCTCCCCAAATACCTACCTGAGGAAGAAAAATGACTGCTTCATGGAGTGAAAGTTTTCCATGAGACTATTTAACTATTCAATAACTCAGTCAACTTGTGCCCACAGCTTTAGATGCACAGAGACTCATTTGATATACACAGCTCAGTGTCATAGTGTAGCCCTTACATCTATGGTATCTGACATTGTGAATGTGATACAGGCTATTGTCTGAAGTTGAGGGAACTTGGTATGCAGCAGTTGATATAACGAAAGGCATTTTCAGCCTCCCTTTATTGTGATCATGATCAGTATACCTTTTTGCGGGTTGGTCTGCCATACACCACAACCATACTTCCACAAGGCTACCAAAATTCTCGAAATATGCCATCAACACAAAAGTGATGATATGGAAACATCCCACTCTCAGAGGGTGCAACAGACTTCTACTCTATTGATGACATTGTCTTAGGGCCCAACATGGGTACTATTAAACAAAGACTGGATGCCTCACAGACCCACATATAGCAACTCAGTGGGGTCATTATTATAGAAAAGGTAGTAATCTGGCACCCTAATAAAATTCCTGAGCATGATCTGTAAGGGTCATGATATCTCATTCCAGAGAAGTGTGCCAAGCGTTGGTCCTCTGTACTTCCACAAATGAAATGAAGACCTAGCAATTGGTGGGACAATTAAGCAACTTACACTGTCACATTCCCCATGTATGGTCCGTGATGGCACCTATCTATGGAGTAACTAGAAAGGCCTCTTCCTTTCAGTGGGGTCACGACCAAGAGGATGATGTGGAGATCCTCAGACAGGCCACCAGGCTGCCCTTCCCCACCCACCCCCCGCCATTTGCTCTTTGAGTTACAGAACTCAGCAACATTTCTGTTTACCAGTTGGAGGCTGTGGCAGAAGACCCCTGACACAAGGGGTCTTGAGGCACCCCTTTCGGCTTTCAAACCCATATCTCTAGGAGTCAGCTGAAAGGTAAACACCCTTTAAGAGACATTTACTGACCTGTTATAGGGTCTTGGTAGATGCTGAGTGGCTGACCTACGACCAAGGGATCAGAAATACCAACCAAAGGGTACGAATAATTTTGCCTTTGTTCTCTAGTTATCTTAGGGTGTCCACACTCTAAGTCAAGGTACAAGATTTCTATAAAATACATGTTCATGAACCAAAGAAAAATAATCTTCTGATAAGTTTAATTTAAAATAAAGTTATCTATAATTATTATACTTACTATTGAGTCTTTCTCCTTTAGAAGGTCTTTGTTTCTTTACTTCCAGCTGAGTTTCTGACATTGAGTCTCCATGCTCAAGCACAGGATTTTCATCTGGTACTTTACGATGAGCTACACAAAGAGAGGCATTTAGTCCAATAAAAGGAAAAATAGATACACTGTTTGATCCTATACTTTCAAGTTACTGACAAATGTACCTCAGCATTTTCTCACATTTTCAAAAGTTGTATGTAAATTACTATAATGCTGGATTGATATGAAAATGGTGAGAAGAGTTTTAATGGATGTGTACTGAAACTGTCTCATCATTTCATTAATATTCATAGGTTTCAAATATGTTCCAGTTTGGTCTCCAGTTTCCTTAACACTTTAGGTTAAAACACAGTCATAAACCAAACCACAAAAAGGTATATGCACAAGATTATTCATTACAGCATATCTGCAATTGTAAAATACTCAGAACCACTTACATGTGGAAATGTAGGAGACTGGTTCCATAAACCAAGGTATATACTATAAACTATGGTAATATCAACTATGCTGTACAGTATGGTCCAAACAACTGTACATACAACTGTAAAAGGAATGAAAAAGATCCCATAAACTAACATGGCGGAATGTCTAGTATATAATGTTAAATGAAATAAAAAACTGATAGAATAGTATATTATCTTTTAGGAAAGAACAAAAAGAAAGCAAAAAAAATAGAGAGATAGTTACCTTTACAAAATGAAACATAAGAAAGATAAACCAGAAAACAAAATAGTTTGTTACCAAAGACACTGAAGACCATGCTCACTGAATTACTACTGTTAGTGCTAAGTCTGTCCCTGGCATTGATAAGACAGCCTATAATGCAGTGATTTTTTTGAGACTCATTTTTAACGAAAAAGAATGTAAAGCTCTCAAGATTGCTTTGCCAGGGCTTCCCTGATGGCGCAGTGGTTCAGAGTCCACCTGCCGATGCAGGGGACACGGGTTTGTGCCCCGGTCCGGGAAGATCCCACATGCCGTGGAGCAGCTGGGCCCGTGAGCCATGGCTGCTGGGCCTGCGCATCCGGAGCCTGTGCTCCGCAATGGGAGAGGCCACAACAGTGAGAGGCCCGTGTACCGCAAAAAAAAAAAAAAAGATTGCTTTGCCAGTGACTTGAGGAGACCAGTTAGACTGGGGTACTTCTCCTCTATCATTAAGGAGGTTATTTGTTGCTTCCATGACCTGACTACTGTAAATAGTGTTGCAATGAACATTGGCATGCATGTGTCTTTTTGAATTACCGTTTTCCTCTGGGTATATGCCCAGTAGTGGGATTGCTGGGTCATATGGTAGTTCTGTTTTTAGTTTTTTGAGAAACATCCATACTGTTCTCCATAGTGGCTCTATCAATTTACATTTCCACCAACAGTGCAAGAGGGTTCCCTTTTCTCCACACCCTCTCCAGCATTTATTGTTTGCAGATTTTCTGATGATGCCCATTCTAACTGGTGTGAGGTGATACCTCATTATAGTTTTGATTTGCATTTCTCTAATAATTAGTGATGTTGAGCATCTTTTCATGTGCCTCTTGGCCATCTGTATGTCTTCTTTGGAGAAAAGTCTATCGACAGACAGAAGAATGGATAAAGAAGACATGGTACATATATACAATGGAATATTACTCAGCCATAAAAGGGAACAAAATTGGGTCATTTGTAGAGATGTGGATGGACCTAGAGACTGTCATGCAGAGTGAAGTAAGTCAGAAAGAGAAAAACAAATATCGTATATTAAGGCATATATGTGGAATCTAGAAAAACGGTACAGATGAACCTGTTTGCAAGGCAGAAATAGAGTCACAGATGCAGAGAACAAATGTATGGACACCAAGGGGGGAAATGGGGGGGGTGGGCTGAATTGGGAGATTGGGATTGACATATATACACTAATATGTATAAAATAGATAACTAATGAGAACCTGCTGTATAGCACAGGGAACCCTACTTCACTTCGCTGTACAGTAGAAACTAACACAACATTGTAAAACAACTATACCCCAGTAAAAAAAAGGAGGTAATTTGTGAAACTTGGTGAAGAGATGTGTCACAACAGACTCCCTCTTTCAGAGTGCTTTGACAGCGGCCACTCTGCCCAAGGAAGTGGGCAGGGCAATGATGTGAACCCTTGATTCCCTCTCCTTCCCCAGCTCCTTTCTCAGGTTTGGCCCACTTATGATGAGTTTCCTGACAGTGAAAAAATGTGTTTTAACCACCCGTATAACCGTCTGGAAGGTGCCTGATAAGCCACTCTGATGGTCCTTTTGTTCAACAACGAGCGGCAAGAACAGTAGATGACGAGACTGGTAACCAGACTCAGAGTTCCAGTGTCATTTGTGCCACCTGTGCTGTTTTCCTAGTTCAATTAAACCTCCTTATAAGGTGATGTCAATTGGTTTACAAGACAATCCAGATCTTCACTGACAAATTTCAGGGAAAGGAAGAACCAGAAACAGATAGATATCATCTGGCCAGTGAAGAAAGTGACCTAAAAATGGTAATCAGGAACCCATGTATGGATGACCTGTTTAAGTGGTTTCCCAAGGAAATCTCTGGGTCTAGTTACTCAACAACGGGAGCTCACAGAGAACACCGATGGACTCTCCACCAAGGAATTCATAGGTGACCCAACACACAGACACTCTAGAGTCCAAATGATGATGACACCTATGACTAACACAAGTGCTCTCCCCTCTGCATTTCCCAGTGAATCTTGAGATGAACCCGAGACACAACCCCCCTGCCATTACTTTTACCCAACCTCTCCGTTTTCTATATAAATAAGAATTAAGGTTAGGCTAAGATTCTTATCTCCCCAGTTGTAATATGAGGATATGTGCTAAGGTTCAATGGAGAGATAGGTGTGAATTGCATATCTGGGCCTTTTGGACACTGATGCACATATGACTAAGATCTCTATAACCACGGACACTACGATGAGGAGAAAACAGATAATGCTCACTGGTTTTTGGTCTGAGCTCACCAAATGGGATCTTTATCCAAATCCAACTATAGGCATGTCCCTACACACCACTAAAAATCTCCATTGTTATGGCTTCCATGACTGAATGTATTACTGGTTTAGATGTATTTTCTATGTGCATCTCACCCCTAAGGCCTGATAGGTACTGCATTTTAGGGCCATTTTAGGGGGGCATGTGGAAAACCAGTGCCTAGCACCTTTACCAACCAAAAACAACTCATTGCCCTTATTGCTGAACTTAATGAAACAAAAGTTCTCCATGAGGTTATTTCTCCATTCATAAGCCCTTGCGCTCTGTGTGTAAGGCCTTGGGTGCCTAGAGACTCAATTGATTATCGCTGGCTCAATGCCACAGTACAGCTCCAGGCACTGGCATCACATGGTCCTGTGACCTTCACAGAAGTTTACTGCTCAAGGTGAGTCACGTAAGTATGCAGCAACTGATATCACACGTGCCCTTTTTAACATTCCTGTTCGCACAAATGGCCAGGATCAGTTTACCTTATGTGCAATGGGTTACAACATACCTCTAATGTCCTTCCACAAGCCCATGACCTAGAAAAAGCCCTGCTCCAAGATCGAGTACTAAAACTTCCACTATATTGATGACCTCCTCCACTGGAACCAGATAAGAGTACTACCCAACAGAGACTGGATTCTATGATGACCCACATGTGACAGCACAGCTGGGTCATTAATGTAAACAAGGTATAAAGATCTAATACCCAACTGAAATCCCTGGGGGCAAAGTGGAAAGGGGTTCACTGTCACTCCAAGCTCCAAGGAAACTAAGTTTTCCTTCTCCATCCCCCACCAAGATACAAAGGAGGCCAAGCTTTTTTCAAGCACTCCAAAGAGCCAAGCTTATTTCTATCTCTACCACAACAAACACAAAGGATACTCAGTGTAGGTGTGTGTATGAATATCTGTATATATATGTGCATATATATGTATACATATGTATATACAGGAGTTCAACTCCAGGCCAAAATCCTGCTTGATTTTGCAGGTCCAACCACAGACAATTACAAGGTCTCTACCTGAAAGTTCTCACGGGGGGATAGTTCTCACCCCACACCAAATTTGATGCATACCCAGTGAACTTTAGACACTGGAGGGAGTTTCAGTGGAGGACTAAGGCCCATCCATCCATACCATGCTCTTATGCATTCTGGATTCCTATACAGGTGCCTCCATCAGAGGCCTCCTTGTGAAAGGTGGAGGGGTCAGCTGATACACTGTGCTTTTCAGGTGCCTCTGTGTAGACCACTTTACTGGGGGAACCTAAAGATACTTTCCTCAGTTACTACACAGTATTCAGGACTTTACACTCCTAGCCATCCTACATCAATATCCACAAGGTTCCTGAGGTCATAAAAGGGCAAGAGCCTTTTGTTTGGGGCTCCTTCAGATATGAGATAATCTTCCGCCAACCCCTACTCCCATCCGCACTGACATCTGACCCTTGCCTGGTTTGGTTCCACGGGGAGAATGAAACACTGGTGGAGCTGGGGCCCTTTCCTGTTTAGACTCTTGCTTATACTATTATAGGAAGTACATAAAAGCTTAATTGTTACTTTCAGTTTGGCTTGCTATCTTAATTGACCAAGTCAAAACAGGCAGCTTTCTCTGACAGATTGGCATAGAGAACAAAGTAGTCAATAAAGTAAAAAACTCCTTTCTGGAAGGAGCACTCTGAGAGGTGCTAGTGAGACTCTTTCAGGGCATACTGCTGGATCATTTGCAAGAGTCAAAGGGTCCCACAGGGCACATCACCAGCCAGGCTAATGTGCCTCCAGAAATGCTAGTGGACACCATGGGGCTCTCCAGGAGAGTACCATTGTAACTTTACTCTCATTCTTCCAAGCCCTGGTGGAAATTACTGCAATTAAGGCCATGTTAGAGGAGCATAAGAATATTGTGAACCTACCCGATTACCAGCACCTAGTACCTCTATCTCCCAAAAATCTGCCTGGGAAAGAAAAAGGAAAAACTGCCCTCTTTACTGAGTTTAACGCAGCAAAAGGCTCCTTGAGACTATATCCCTATTCAATAATTCACTTGACTTGTGTACCTGATCTTGAGTTCACAGATACTCAATTGATTTTGGCTGTTCAATCAACAGGACAACCTTGGCATCAGTGGTATCTGACAGTGTGACTGTTGTAGTAACTTGTCCAGAGTGTGGGAACTTGTTATTCAGCAATGGATATCACAAACGCCCTTTTCAGTATCCCTCTGAATGGGAATGATTCCAGTCAGTTCATCTTTATGTGGAATGGGTACAATTCACCATTCAGATCCTTCCACAAGTCTATCTGAATTTCCTATCTGTCATCAATGTATCAAAGCCTGGAAAATCTCCAGATTTTCCAGAGGAGGGACTAGCCCTCTACTTTACTGATAATGTCATCCTATTGAGTCCAGAGAAGGGAGCTGGACAACAGCCCAACAAGGGCTGGACACCCTGCTGACACACAAGTGGCAACTTGCTGGGCCACTTTTACAGAAAACGTACAAGTACGCAAGTGAAATTCCTGGGCTTGACCTGGGTATGGAGTCTCATTGTCTCATTCCATGGGAAAAGACTGGCTTTGATACTCTCTGCTCCAGCAATTAAAAAGGAAGCCCAGGGACTGATGGAACTCTTCATCTACTTGCATTCTTAATGCCATCCATCTAAAGGGTTACAAGAAAGGTCATTTCCTTTCAGTGGGGCCACAGCAAGGAGGATGACCTGCAAGCCCTCCAACAAGCCACCTAGGCTACCCTTCCTTTTGGCCCCTCTGATCCATTTTGCCATTTGAGTTACAGATCTCAGCAACCATCTATTCACCAACTGGAGTTAAGGCAGAAGGACACTGCCACAGGTCAGAGGCATCTGTTGGGGTTTTTAATTCATCATCTCTAGGAACAGCTCGCTGAAAGGTACACACCCTTTAAGAGACAATTATTAGTCCATTATTGGGCTTCAGGGGATACTGAACACATGACCCACGACTGTGAAACAGTCTCAAGACAACAAATTCCGACCAAAAGTTATCAACAGTTTTGCTTTTGTACTCTAATTATCTTAGGGCATTCATACTTTACGTCAGTGCAAAATTTCTATAAGAACATGCCCAAATAGGATTCCTGGAGTGGAGATGTCCATGCTTGCTCCGCTGCCCCCACAGTTTTAGAGCGTACAGCATCATTTGAGGACGGCTCAGGAGCATGACAAGCGGGGACCCCCTGTGGTGGCTTATTACTGTCATTTGTATGCAATGCAAACAGGAATGAATGTTGATAGTAAAACTCCTGAATGTCGTACGTTTTCACCAAAGCTAATGGATCAGTTAGAAGCTCTTATGAAACAGCTGGGTGATAATGAAGCTGTTACTCAAGAAATAGTTGGCTCTGCCCATTTGGAGAATTATGCTTTGAAAATGTTTTTGTATGTAGATAATGAAGATCATGCTGGGTGATTTCACAAAAACATGATCAAGTTCTTCTACACTGAAAGTCTTTTAATAGATTTCAAAATAGCGGTTGGAGAACTCACTGATGAAAACGTCAAACACAGAAAGTATGCAAGGTGGAAAGCAACATATATTCATAATTTTTTAAAGAATGGAGAGACTCCTCAAGCAGGGCCTGGTGGGATTGAAGAAGATAATGATGTTGGAGAAAATGAAAATTCTGGAGCAACCTCTCTGCCCACTCAGCCCCTCAGCCGTCATCTTCAACTTATGACCCAAGCAACATGACATCAAGCAGCTTTACTGGAATACAAATTCCTCCCGGTGCCCACATTCCTGCTAATACCCCAGAAGAAGTTCCTCCCAGCACAGGTGTAACAAGTAACACTATCCAGCCTACTCCACAGACTATTCCGGCCATTGATCCTGCACTTTTCAGTACAGTTTCCCAGGGAGGTACCCAACTAACATCAGAGGACTTTGCTAGACCTCAGAAATACTGCAAATAACACTGGCAGAGCTTTGCAGTATGAAGATGTCAGCAGTGCAGAATCCACAGAAGACTCTCAAGTTACTGACCACAGGCAGAGAATGAAGCCTTTGTAGAACAGATCCATGCATTTTTGGCTTAAAGAACTAACAGTCCATTACTCTATCTTCAGCCTATCAGAAGCACAGTTTTAAGGAAGACTTCAGTTCCACTGACTATAACAATAAAGTCTGTGTCTGTGTATCAGATTCCTGTTGAAGCTTTCATCAACAGCCTCGACCAATTTTCATTGTCCATTTAGTGGATCCAGTAATCTCTGGGTATACACAGGGCTGATACGAGCAAGATCCTAAAAATGTCCACTGAACCCTGCTTGTTCAAAAAATGAAAACACACTTCTATGAAATATACTGGGAATCAGCTTTGTATCTTAATCTAAATAAATTAAGGAATTTTTAAATCCATAATTTGGACATACAGACCATATTACTTTGCTATAAAATTCTAATTTAACTTTTAATAAAGATTACAAGAATATTCTAGATTAGAGGTCACATTTTGTTTTCCTTAGGACTTATGAAACAGATATGAACGTCCTAAATTGTTAGATGAATCTGAAAGAGATTATGTTTAAGTTTCAATTTATATTCATATTAATTATAGCTACATTAAAAGTTAAAATGTTCATGGAAAGAAATATAACAAGGTAAACAGGTAAATCAGTTTTAGATGTAAGAATAATGTTGGTTTCCCAATTGTTTTCCCTTATCCATTGGCGTTTAAGGTGAATTGGTATTTGCTTCATAGGCAGTTTGACTGCATGTATCAGAGAATGAAAACAAGACATTTGCAGTAATGCCTGGAAACTTGGTGCTTTGAGTTAAGGTTCTCCTCTGCTACTATGGAATGGATTCCATAGAGTGTATAGCTATGAATGATGCAGATTTTAAGAACATAGATTCTCAGTTGATAAGTTAATAAGTTTTGTGAGGAATTATGGACTTACTGTGTCACCTGCATTTGTGCTGTGTAAAAAATAAATACAAGGGTTCTTTTAACTAGTTCAAAAAAAATATGCCCAAATACATATTCACGAACCAAAGAAAAAGGATCTTCTGATGAGTACAATTTAAAATAATTTAAAGTCATCTATAATTATTAAACTTATTAATGAGACTTTCATCTCCAGAAGATTTTTGTTTCTCTGCATGCATTTCTGTTTCTGACTTTGAGTCATGATGATTAAACATAAGATTTTCATCTGACACATGATCGTGAGCTACATAAAGAGATACATTTAGTGCATTAAACTGAAAAACAGGTCTATTGTGAAATCCCTATATATCAAATTTATACACATATTTAGCAGTATTTTCTTTCATTTTTATAAACATAAAATATAAGTAAATTACCATAATGCTAGACCTGACATAAAAATTGTGAGGAAAATTTTAATGTGTGTAAGACTCACTGTTTCTTAAATATTTGTTGGCATCAAATATATTTTATATTAGTCCCTACTTGTTTTAGATTATTATAACTTAGGTTAATATATACTCATAGACCAAATAATGAAAATGTATATGTAAAGGTTATTCATTACACATTTTTAATTGCAAAATACTCAAAAGCACCTAAATGTACTAGCATGTGAGACTGGTTGAAAAACAAGGTACATACTATAAATTAGGGTAACACAAATTATGGTGTATGACGTGGTACAAAGAGTTACACATAAAGCTATAAAAAGATACTTATAACCCAACTTGGAGAGACTGTTAGGAGATAGGTTAATTGTAGAAAAAATGAAAAGAGAAGGTATCAAGTATGCTATCTTTTAGGAAAGAAAAGAATGGGAAATGAAAAGAAAATATAAGATACTTACCTTTAGAAAAGGAAATACAGGAAAGATAAACCAGAAAACAATGTAGTTGGTCACCTAAAGTTGCATGCAGAATAGGACACAAGGACTACTGTTAAATCTAAACATGTCCCGGGCAGTGATGACATCCTTGATGCAACAAATGTTTCTCATATTTAATGAGAAAGTAGGTAGAGCCCTCAGGATTGCTTTGCCCAGTGACCCAAAGAAACCAAAGAGATCTGGATAGTTTGATTCCACCACAAAGAAAGTAATCTTGTTAAAATTATTTAAGGACAGAAGCACCTTTTCTGGTGTGTTACTGCAGAACCCCCTCTTTCAGAACATCTTCCATGACCACTTTGCCCAAGGAGGATGAAGAAGGAGGTAGGTGGGAGAAATGTCATGTACACCTGAGACCTTCTCCTTCCTTTACTAGCTATTATTTGTTCTTGGACTGGTTTGGTCCAATCATGGTGAGTTCTCTGACACTGGAAAACTGTTTTGGTCTACTCTTACGGCCACCTATAAGGGGCTCTGCAAGCCACCTGATAGTTCCTTGATTTGACAATGAGAAGTAAGAAAAGTAAACGATGAGATTGTTTACCAGACTCAGGTTTAAGTTCATTCTTGCCACTCTCACTGGTCACCTGTCTCAATTAAACCTCCTTATAAGGTGATGTCAGTTGGTTCATGGCACAATCCATGTGTGAAATGAAAAATTTCCAAGCAAAGAAAAAGCAGCTACTGGCAAGACACTAACTTTTCACTAGTAGTCACAGTGATGTAAAAATGGTAATTGGGTACTTACTCCTGGATCATTGGGTTAAGGTCTTTCCCAAAGACATCTATGGGTCTTGTTACCCAACAATGGGTCTCAAGGAGGAGACTGATAGACTCTCCTTCAGATACTTGTGACTAGATAATGGCCACTGGGGGCACAACAGAGTCCACATACTGACAACTCCTATGACTAATATAAATAATATTCCTTCCAACCCTCCCAGTGAATCTTGACCTGAAATCTCTCTACTTTTATCCAAACCTCTTAACTTTAAAAATAAACAAGACTATGAGTTAGGCCAAGGTCCCTATGTCCTCACTGGGAACATGAGGACGTTTGCCAAGGTCACAGTTCAATGGGGAAGTGAGGAAGAATTTCATTCCCTGGTCCTTTTGTGCCAAGATGAGGGAAAACTATATATATATATATATATATATATATATATGTATGTATATTTATATAGTCTAAGTGTGCGTCCTTAACATCCCATCCTTATCCCCAAGCCATGATCATAAATACTACAACTGAGGCCATTTCAGTGGCTCTGGTAGTCTGTTAGGTAGTCTGAACCTAACAGTCTATCAGTACCTAGTCCCTCTGACTACCAAAGCAACTCCCTAGAGGATGAAAAGAGACAGCTTCCTCATTACTGAGCTTAATGAAGCAAAAATTCTCCGTAAGACTATTTCTCCATTCAGTAGCCCCATCTGGCCTGTGGATTAGGCTTCAGGTGTATGGAGATTCAATTGATTATTAGAGGCTCAATGCAGTCACGCAGCTTGAGCACTACTAGTGTTACCTGAAATTATGACAGCCATAAAGGCTGTGGCCCAAGCTGAGGCAAGTACAAAGCAACTGACATTACAAATGTCTCTTTCAGAATCCCTGTCCACAGGGATGATCAGGATCAGTCTGCCATACGTGTCATGGGTTGCAACGTACCTTTAATGTCCTTCCATAAGGCCATGACCTGGAAAAAGTCCCACTCCCACATGGAGCCCTAGCCTCCCCCTATATTAACAATAACCTCCACTAGGCCTAGGCAAGGGAATTACCCAACAAACACAGAAAGCATGTGGACTTACATGTGAGTTAAGTCTGGGCCATTAATATAGGAAAAGTACCAGGACCTAGTACCCAAGTGAAATCTCTGGGAGTAAACTGAGAAGAGGCAGTATGTGTCATTCCATAGGAGACAACTGCCAAGCTTTAGTTCCTCTAAGCCCCCACAAACACAAAGGAGGCCCAAAGATTGGTGGAACTTTTCAGCTACTAGTACTTTGACATTCACCATGTGGTCATCTTGATGGCATTTGTCTATTAGGATACCATTTTTGGTCTCTACCTTTGAGTAGGACATGGCAACAGGATGTCCTAGAGGCCCTCCAACAGGTTTCTGACTCTGTCCATCCCCTTGGCTCCTCTGATACACATTTGTGTTTGAGTCACAGATCTCAGCAACTTCTCAGTTTGCTGATTAGAGCCTATGGCAGAAGGACACTGCCAGAGGCGCCCATTAGGCTTTTGGTATCATAGTCACCTGGAGTCAGATGAAAGGTACAAACCCTTTAAGCGACTACTATTGGCCTGTTATAAGGCCTTGGTGAATAATTAGTATATGATCCATGGCCATGAAACAGTCTTATGACTAGAAATACCAACCAAAAGTTATGAATATTTTGGCCTTTATTCTCTAGTTATCTTGGGGTATTCACACTTGAAGTCTAAGTGTAAAACTGCTATAAAATATATGCTTAAATACTGATTCATGAACCAAAGAAAAATATCTTCTGATCACTTTAATTTAAAATAATTTAGGGAGTGACATCAGCAAAACGGCAGGGTAAGAGATTGCAGTCCCGTAGCCCATGGAAACACTGATTTAACAATTCATGGATGAAATACATTTATGAGAGCTTCAGAGTCCACTCAAGAAGTTCCAGCATGCTGGTGGAACATAACATCCTAGATAGCTGCATTAAAAAGGGTAAGAAGAACAGTTTTGCTTTACCTATGTCACCCCTCCACCAAGTCAGCACAGCTCAACACAGAGAGAGATTCCCTCACCCACAATTTTTCCCATGGGAGAAAGAGAGAGGGAAGTGAGCATAAGGCTCTCAAAGCCTTTCAGGGTGCTGCCTGAGAGGCCCACTTCTATCTCACCTTAATCAGAGCACTGAAGGAATCAACATAGCTGGATTGTCTGTGGGCAGCTAGAAAAAAGACCTCAAATAAAAAACCTAACTTTACACCTCAAGGAACTAGAAAGAGAAAAATAAACTAAACTCAAAGTTATCAGAAGGAAGGAAATAATAAAGGTTAGAGCAGGAATAAATGAAACAGAAAACAGAAAAATTTTCTAAAATTTTAGCCCATTCATGAATGGGCTAATCCCACTCATGAGGGCTCCATCCTCATGACCTAAGCACCTCCCCACTCCTAATACAATTACATTAGACATTAGGATTTTAACACATGAATTATGGGGGGGGACACAAACATTCACTGATAGAAACTTCCAAATTCATTTTATGAGGCCAGCATTACCTAGATACCAAAGCCAAACAAAGGCACCACGAGAAAATGACAAGCCAATATCCCTGATGAACTCAGATGCAAAAATTCTCAACAAACTACTAGCAAACAATTCAACAGCACATTATAAAGATCATACACCATGACCAAATGGTATTTACTCTACTCAGGCAAGGATGGTCTAACATCAGTCAATGTGACACATACACCACATTACAGAGCAAGGGATAAATATTACATGATCATCTCAACAGGTGCAGAAAAAAAATCTGAAAATATTCAATACTTTTCCATGATAAAAACTCCCATAAATTAGGGATAAAAGGAATTTACCTCAACCCAATAAAGGCTATATGTAGAAAATCCTGAAGACTCCACCAAAAAGCTGTTAGAACTACTAAGTGAATTCAGTAAAGGTGCAACATACAAAATCAATATAAAAAAATAAAAAATCAATTGCATTTCTATACACTAACAACAAACTATGAGAAAGAGAAAATAAGAAAATAATCCCATTTACAATGACATCAAAAAGAAAAAAATAAATTTGACAAAGGAGATAAAGTATTCATATACTGAAACTATAAAATATTGATGACAGAAATTAAAGAAGACAAAAATAATGCAAAGATATTCCATGCTCGTGAACTGGAAGAATTAATATTTTTAAAATGTCCACACCACCCAAAGCAAGCTATGGATTAAATGCAATCCTTATTAAATTTCCAATGGCATTTTTCACAGATATAGAACAAAAAAATCCTAAAATTTGTATGGACTCACAAAAGATCCTTTATAGTCAAAGAAATCTTGAGAAAAAAGTACAAAGGTGGAGGCATCATACTTCCTGATTTCAAACTACAGCTGACCCTTGAACAACATGGGGGTTAGGGGTACTGACCTCCCTTCCCACCTACACAGTCAAAAATCCACACAGAATTTTACAGTTGGCCCTCTATATCCATGGCTCTGCATCCACAGATTCAACCAACCACAGATTATGTAGTACCATAGCATGTATTTACTGAAAAAATTCTGTGTATAAGTAGACTCATGCAGTTCAAATCTGTGTTGTTCAAGGGTCAGTTGTGTATTACAA